TTAGGTCAGTGCAGGTATGACCTACAGAAAACTATCTTCAGCTAACAACTGTAATTGCAGACAATCCATTTCACCTTGGTTAGCTATTAACCTGAAAGCTGTATTGATCCAAACCTGGAGGAAAATGGCTTGTGTGCCTTTTTTGCCAGTTTAGGAGGCCTCAAGATGGCCTAAAACAGGGGTCCCCAACCTGGTGCCCGCGGGCGCCATGGCGCTCACCAGGGCATCCATGTGCGCCTGCCTACTGGCCACCGGACAAGCAGCCGCCGAAATGCCGCCGAGAAGCGGCAACGTCAAGAAGCGCTACTGCCGAATTTCGGCGGTGACACCTCTTGACGTTGCCACTTCACGGCGGCATTTCAGCGGCTGCTTGTCTGGCGGCCACGGTACCCGGCGGCTAGTCGTCTGGCGCCTGCCCCACAGAAAAGGTTGGGAACCACTGGCCTAAAAGGTTTGTATTTTTTGTATGATTTGTTTTCATTACAAATATAGTGTTGACAAAAGTCATGAGTCAGGCCCTCAAATTATGGGTTGGGGGAGGTTGAGTTCAATCCCCATCTCTCCCCCGTTCACCATACCTAATCTCAGCCTGGGAAGCTATGTGGTCTGAGACTTTGGCTTGGTTAGGAAAAGTGGTCAAGTTTAGGTTTTCTTAGCCAACACAGACTACCAAAGCCCAAACTTTTTTCTGCTGTAGATGTCGGGTAATACCTTTGTAGCACAGTTAAACTGGTTAATGCTTTTGGAGCTCACCCATGGCATTGTGAGGTTTAGGAAATTAACTTCAAATATTTAATGACGATTACCCCTCCATTTTGAAAGGCACTCCTAGGACACTTTAGATTATAAACTTTCCCAGGTATTTTTGTAGAGTATAATTCACAACCATTATAAGCACAACAATTTTTCAAGAGGTTTTACTGAATCCTCAGACAACCCACAGGTTGTTTTTTTTTAAATCTGCAACATCCACCTCTAACCACAAGTTCACATATCACACACTCCTGCCATGTACCCTTCCTGAAGCAAGACATTCACAACATAGCATATTTTCTATGAATTGTTAGCTTCTTGACAGCTAAACTTAGGCTATGTCTACACTAGCATTTTTGTCAGTAAAATTTATGTTGCTCGGCGGTGTGAAAAAACCTACCTCTGACCGACATAAGTTACACTGAGAGAAGCACCAGTGTGGACAGCGCTGTGTCAGTGGCAGATGCTTTCCTGACGACCTAGCTACTGCCACTTATTGAGGGTGGTTTAATTATGCTGATGGGAGAGCACAGAGCAACTACATGGGAGATCTTACACACTGTAAGGTCTCTAGTGTAGATGTAGACCAAGTCAGATTTGGTCAACTGAAATAAAAGCAAAACGCATTCTAAGCTGATCCTATCACTTTCAATGTCCTTAAAAACTTAGACGCTTCTCACCACAGGCTGGCTGGCTACTTTTCTGTCAGGCTCTCCCCTTTGATCAGCGTTTCAGTTGCTTGGTGGTGTCTGTAGATGTAGTTGGAAGAGAGAGACACAGCATGGCAAATGTCTCTCCCTTTTATCATGTCCTTTCTTTCCTCTTGGCTTTGTGCCTTCCCCCTCTTCAGAGTCAGGTGAGCATTACCTCATTGCAGTTCCAAACTGACCAAAGGAAGGGGGTGACTCCCTTGAGGGAGTAACAGATTCTTTCGTTGCTGCCTAAGCCAGTGTCCATTGTTCCTGTGAGGCTGGGCTGGGCTTGTCCCATCCATGCCCTGGCAAGGTATGAACTGCCTCTCTGTTCTTAGAGAGTTTTTGCATGGGTTTGCTTTAAGCCATGAGGGTACATTTTCAACCTCATAACTATACACACGAAATTATAACCTATAACATTACTGTAACGATTACTATATCATCACTGTAACAACCATGCTCAGAGCATCATGAGCCTTCTGAAGACACCCAACATAACAAACTTTGTATTGGATACCACGCAATCATTTATAAAGATGAACATGGGGGTGTAGGGTGTTCCCGAGGTACAGAGCGTCACGCTTTGTACCCAGGTCTATTTGGGGCTCCTTCAGGAGCACAGAATAAAGACGAGTTTCAAGAAACTGCCCTTTACTTTAAACACATTTATAGTGGAGTGTATGGACTAGATCCAAGGTCATTCAGCTCCCCTGCTTTCCAGTCTTGTCTGTCTCATGTCTTCACTGGATTAGACAAGCAACAGGGACCCTCAGGCGGGAAAAACACTGCTTTAGTTATTTCTGAGCACTAAGATAATTCCTGCAACAACAGTTGCACATTTATCCTTTAACTTTGAGCCTTACTTTTCCTCTTAACTCAATTGGTTCTATACAGCTTTGGCTAAATTAAAGTTGTGTCTCTTCCTGTTTTAGTCTTGAAAGGTTTGTTCCTGTTCTTATAGTACCTTTCTTTCCCATCTGTCTCCCCCTTTTAAACTGCAAGTATTCACTAGTTTCACCTATGGAAACCTACACCACACAGACACCACTCATTTTCACATCAATTTGTAAATGAGAAAAGTTTAAGCCATTTGCTGATCAGGGCCCTCCCTGACCTGCCCCCAAATAAATATTTTAAAACATTCTGCTAAAATCACTTTGAAAAGGCTGCAAGGAGATTGCTGTGCAACAAAACCTACTAAACTTAGTAACTTTGTTTCTTGAAAAAATGACTTCCTGATTTAATATAGTGAGTGTCATATATTGTGTGTTTGTAGGACTCAAGTTTAGTGTCTGCCATTACAAAATTAAGATGTTTGGATTTGGGTTTGTAGTTTAAATCCATCTCTACTTTAAAAACAGAATTCTGTAAAAGGAGGAAAGATGGTCTTAACACAGGACCAGAAGGGAAGAAGTCTAGGTTCTTATTTCTGACTCCTCCAGAGACATCCTGTGTAGCTTTCAGTAAATAATTTAACTTTTCTATGTTGTGCTGTAAAGTAGACATTACAGCAACTGAAGGTGGTGGCTAGGCCGACAGAAGAATTCTGCCATTGACCTGCCAGTGTCTACACCAGGGGTTAGGTCAGCTTAATTACATCGCATAGGACAAGTTTTTTCACACCTTGAGCAGTGTAGTTAAGCCAACTTGACTTAAGAGTGTAGACCAGTCCCTAGTGTTGTTTGAAAAAGGATAGGAGGGAGGAATTGGAAGTGGTAAGGCTGGGGAACTAGGAGTCCAACATTGACACGTGCTGACACTTTGGGGAGGAGGCTGTATGACAGGGTGCAGTAGGAGAGGTGATGTCAGATGGGAGGAGCCAGGTTTTAGGGAATGCAAGAAGAGATGATAAATATTGGTAAGTTTTGTAGATGGAGCAGGAATTCCAGAAGGTCCAGAAGAAGCCAGGGAAGGAAGGAGGCAGGAACAGAGGAATAAGCACAATCAGATTGGTTAAAACAGAGCCAGTGGGACAGTGGTAGTGGCAGGGAATGATTCAGAGGGATGACAACCAGCATTAGGGCAGAGATTGCCAGAGGTGAGAAGAAGAGTCAGAAGAGGCTGCAGAAGTTATACGTAGATTTAAGAGGGTAAAGGTGTGGGGAAGAAGAGCTGCAAAGGAGAGATGGGTTCAAGGAATGGGAGATGATGCTTTTGGGAGGAGGGGTAGGGAAGGAAGAGGGGAGGAAAATTTGATGGAACAGGAATGAGGAATGTGGTGAGCACTTTGGGAGAGGCTATGTGGAAGTGGTGCGAGGAAGGCTAGTAAGCAGTTACAGTAGAATGATGCCCCAATACACACATGTAGGATAGATTCTCATTTGTAAGAAGATTCACATGTTGCTCTCAACGTTCAGATGAATATCTGCCAAATTATGAGATGTCTGTGCATAAGTTATGCCTGATATTTGTTACTTAAGCTCTTAAGCATTTAATTTGATGATTCAAGCAAATATTAGAAATTCTGTGCAGTATAAAGCATAAAGAATATGGTTTATATTTAAATTGTACCTTAGTGATTTCCTCAGGTCATCTTTGATAAGCAGAATTTGGGTGGTGTAACTCAATTATCAAATATTCCCTTGCCTCAACATGAAGACCAAAATAAAGAAAATAACATTTTATATTTGTGTTTAAAGTTTGATTCTGATCCCATATATATTAGTTTCAAACTGGTGTAACTCATTTGAGGTGAGTGGCATTACACCAATGTAAAAAACAATGTATTGCAGATCAGAATCTAGTCAGTGTTCTTTTCCAAACTATCATACACATTTATAATGCATTATAAGTAGGAATATTAACAACTGATTCCTTTTAGTTGGTGGTGGCTGAACATGAAATGATGTCATTAGGATACTGCCTTAATCTGATCTTTATTTTGGGAAATATACAAGAAATCTTTGTGCAACTTTTAGGATGTATTTTCTGGAAAGTTTGCAATAGTGGAATGAAACAGCAAGGCATTTAGTCCACTGAATGGGATAAACTCGGTTCTCAATTACACGGCGGCAAACTGGAAGTAATTTCATTGAAATAAGTGAATTTCAGTGTAAGCTTGAGAACAGAAGTCAGTCCGATGTTATGACGGTCTGAACATGACAAAAGCTTAGAAGGAAGTCACCCTATTCAATGTTAATTTGAGTGCTGTGGGCCTGATTTTCAGTTGTGATCAGCATAGCCTGGGAAAGGGGAAGAATGGTGGCTGTGGCCCCTGGATTCTGAGGCCAGCTAGGAAGGGACCAGTCTAGTCCTCAGCAAGGGTGCTCTAATTTATGCATGGCTATTCCAGCAACTGGAGAGTACTGGTATTCTGGCTGCATCCCTACACTGGAAGCAGAAGCATTCTGTAGAGACACACTATGCCAGCTATCCACCACCAATCAAGTTCCTTTTATGAAAGGGGAATTACCAGGTAGCTAGTAAAGTTTGCTTTCTGCCTGCCTTGTAACACCTGAACCCTATATGCATGCAGGCTTCTGCCCATGCCAAACTCGTAACAGGACCAGGACCTTAATTACTAATTATAATTGTCTTGTTTCACTTGTTTAGGTCAGAATAATTTACAGGATCTAGAAGAAATACATTCTTCAAATATGGAAGAGGATACCAAACCTCTCCTGATCCCTGTTGGAGGTGATGAAAGTGATTATGGAATCATGAACATTCAGTTTAATCCAGCAGACCTAAAATGCAAGAGGTGAGGGGCAATCTAACCTTATACAGTGATCATGATAGTAGGGTGATCAGATGTACCGATTTTATAGGGACAGTCCCGATTTTTGGGTCTTTCTTATATAGGCTCCTATTACCCCCCACCCCCTTGTCCAATTTTTCACATTTGCTGTCTGGTCACCCTACATGATAGTGGCTTTTTTGTCTTATCTTTACCTTTAAAATAATTCAATAAAGGTAGAAGCCAAACCTTTTTGGTCTGGTTATTTTAATAAAAACCTCCTGAGTTAAGTTATAAATATTTATTCTTTTCTATTCTAGGAAAAGACGTGTCTATTGAGTTTGCTGAAAACTTGACAATTCAGGGAGGGTAGTGAGAACTTGTTAGAAAAGATAGATTTGGAAAGCTACCAATATATCTTAAACTGAATAGATGTAGTGAGTACATATTGATTTCCATGTCTATTAAGATTTTTAATCTTATTCGACAAGATAAAACCTCAGACTTAAATGGTGAGAGTATGCAAGAGATTGCATGGTTGTGTGCACACAGATATATAAATAAATGCTGTGTGCATGTTTGTGTGTGTGTATATATGAATTCATAGGCACATATGAGTTTAAAAAAATGCATGAGTGTGCATGTAAGAAGCGAAACCCACTGTGACATGCTGCTTGGAGGGCCTCCAAAAAATCATTATGCTTCAGAAATAGGCAATCCTGCAGCATTCTTAGGGAAGTGATGGCAGCATGTCAGCTATACTTAGTACGATTATAGGTGGGGCCTGTAACACAGCCCATTATTAAGGCTGCCTGACACTTCCCTTTTTAAGACTTTTCAGTTGTTTACAATTTTGCCAAACAATTCAGGCTGAAATTTTCCATGCTGGGTGTTTGATTGCCTCAGGCTGAATTTTTTTGAAAATAAAAATGTTGAAACTTTGAATTGAAGGAGATGTGGGGGGAAGGGAGACAGGTCTGACAAAGAGCTGGAATGCAGAGGGAGAACTGGGACTGGCTGGGCAAGTTAATTGGGACTATGCTGTGGGAACAATTGTCATGACTGGAGCTTGGGTGGTCAGGCCCAGTGGTCAGAGCAATAGCAGTCAGAGGGCAGGAACCACATCAAAGGTTGGAGCCGAAGTCAAGAACCAGGAGTTTGCTCTTGGACTCCTGACCCCAACTCTATCTGAGAGGCAGGTCCATAACTATGACTGGCAGGGGAGTCCACATCATTGCACAGACACTTCCTGGAATTCCTCCTGGGCTTAAATAAGGCACCTGGACCAATCAGGGGCCCCAAGAGAAGCCTTCCAAGGTGTTTATCTCCACAGGGCTCAAGGGATGATGAATACTGCCCTATCATGGCTGCCAGGTAGTGGCATGGAGGTGTTGGTAATCCTGCAGACCCCAGCTTCTAGTCCCCATAGAACCTAACAAAGACACTGGAGTTTGGACAAGAAGCCTAGGAAGAGACATTGGGACTAGTTTTCTGTGCGGACAAGAAACATGGGTAGAGGGGGTATGTGATGGGAGGTCAGGGGGAGATGAAATGGTGGTGGTGGGGCAAGAGACAGATCGGATAGGAGCTAAGGGCAGGGAGAACTGGAACTGGCTGGTCAAGGAGATTGGGACTGGAAATCATAGAATCACAGAAAAATCAGGGTTGGAAGGGACCTCAGGAGGTCATCTAGTCCAACCCCCTGCTCAAAGCAGGACCGATTCCCAACTAAATCATCCCAGCCAGGGCTTTGTCAAGCCTGACCTTAAAAACCTCTAAGGAAGAAGATTCCACCACCTCCCTAGGTAATCCATTCCAGTGCTTCACCACCCTCCTAGTGAAAAAGTTTTTCCTAATATCCAACCTAAACCTCCCCCACTGCAACTTGAGACCATTACTCCTTGTTCTGTCATCTGGTACCACTGAGAACAGTCTAGATCCATCCTCTTGGGAACCCCCCTTCAGGTAGTTGAAAGCAGCTATCAAATCCCCCCTCATGCTTCTCTTCTGCAGACTAAACAATCCCAGTTCCCATAGCCTCTCCTCATAAGTCATGTGCTCCAGACCCCTAATCATTTTTGTTGCCCTCCGCTGGACTCTCTCCAATTTTTCCACATCCTTCTTGTAGCGTGGGGCCCAAAGCTGGACACAGTACTCCAGATGAGGCCTCACCAGTGTCGAATAGAGGGGAACTATCACATCCCTCGATCTCTGGCAGTGCCCCTACTTATACAGCCCAAAATGCCATTAGCCTTCTTGGCGACAAGGGCACACTGTTGACTCATATCCAGCTTCTCATCCACTGTAACCCCTAGATCCTTTTCTGCAGAACTGCTTCCTAGCCATTCGGTCCCTAGTCCATAACAGTGAATGGGATTCTTCCATCCTAAGTGCAGGACTCTGCACTCGTCCTTGTTGAACCTCGTCAGGTTTCTTTTGGCCCAATCCTCTAATTTGTCTAGGTCCCTCTGTATCCTAGTCCTACCCTTCAGCCTATCTACCACTCCTCCCAGTTTAGTGTCATCTGGGAACTTGCTGAGAGTGCAGTCCACACCATCCTCCAGATCATTAATGAAGATATTGAACAAAACCGGCCCCAGGACCGACCCTTGGGGCACTCCACTTGAAACCAGCTGCCAACTAGACATGGAGCCATTGATCACTACCCATAGAGCCCGATGATCTAGCCAGCTTTCTATCCACCTTATAGTCCCATTCATCCAGCCCATACTTCTTTAACTTGCTGGCAAGAATACTGTGGGAAGACCATATCAAAAGCTTTGCTAAAGTCAAGGAATAACACATCCACTGCTTTCCCCTCATCCAATGAGTGGGGTGGGACTTGGACACGGAGCATGGAGGGGTGAGACTAGTACAGTCAAAGAGACTGGGATGAGAAGCCTGGGGCAGGAACTCTATGGGGGGAATGTGTTGGGGGGGGGGG